CAAGTCGTACTTCTCGGAGCTCCAGAGCTTGGTCTGCCCTCCGTCTCCTTTTCCTTCTCCGGGGTGGATTCACTGCGTCTAGCTTCGATTGCAGGCGGCAATAATTAAAAACTGCATTATTTTATTGCCCTGGCCAGCCTGCAAGTCCGCCTGTCTTCTGGCCTCTTGGTCTCTTCGTCTTTTGACGGACTGTCTGGACGCCAAAGAGCCCACTTTATTGGATCCCAACGGAGGAGGGCTTGGCGGGGGCACCGAGGCTTGTTACAGTCGCCTGCCCGAAATATATCTCTGTTTTATGACTGGGTGTCGCCACATAAAGAAAGTTTTCTAAGACCGCACTTTCCACCATTGTTAATCAGGGAATGTTACTAAGCACAATAGTTCGCTTGTGATGGGTCCACGATTCAGAAAACATTTTATCGTGGTAAAAAGGTCTGCTAAAAATATTGGTTTTTAATAGACTTTTGAAGAAAACAATTTTTAGTGTTTTTTTTTTATTTTGAAGATTAATATTTGGTAACTATTTCAATGCCAAAGAATTTTGTAAGAAAATATTACTACAGTTTTGAAATTAAATCATTTAAAACCCGAAACTGAGTATCTTTAAAATTGAGATCAACAAAATGTATCTCGCTTACAAATTTCAGTTTATATAATAACTTTTTACTATGAAAATAGATCAATATAATGAAATAAATTTATAAAATGATCTAAGGTAAAAACATTTTAATGGTATGGTATAGATAAATCTTCGTAAGCAATATAAACCAATATTTTTCAGCTATACCAATATTAATTGCTTTTTCTTTTACCTTTGAACAACAGCCAATTTGTATGATTTAATTTTCTGATATTCCACAAAAAGACTTCGTTTAAGAATCGATAATAATTACATATTGATTTCAGTTGCTTTTGTTTGGCTTCATTATACAGAAATTTCAGGGGTGTTCAGGTGTGAATTAAGGAAAACAGGCAAACATTAAACAAGGATGTTTTTAGTGTTAAATTAAACTTTTTGTTTGCCAATTTGGTTATTCAATTTGTTGAGGCTTACGCGATTTTCTCCTTGGCCATTTGGCACGCCCATTTTTGTTTGTATTTAGCAAGAGGGAGAGCGATATATGGTATAAAAGAGACGGCTGACTTTTTATTAGCGCGATGATAAATACACTTTTTATCCACTCCACCACACACAGACCCCACAAACCTCTTCCCCTTCGAAAATTCGCAATTCGTGCCCTCGCAAATTCACATTTTGTTTTGCGATTCGCAATTCGTTTTTCTTGCCCCTTTTCGCAATCGGCAGCTGTACTGGAAAAATCCAATTAACAGTTTTATTAGCTATGGTTGGCAAAATAATTCATAAATTCATTAAAAACAATACGAAAAGCGCGAACTGTAATAGTACCAATAATAATCATATTTTTTACGAGCTCTTTCTGCTGCTATTGCGCTGTTTTAATTTTTTTTTTAGTTTTTATATGAGTTTTTCTGACATTTGTCGCCATGCAGTTTTGTATGCCGTAAATTGCATTTGTAGTAAATTAAATTTTTTTTTTTAATATATATACGAGTGACGTGACAAATCCCCCCTTTTGGCCAGTTTCAAGTTCGCGCCTCGCAAAGAAACTAAAAGCAAAACAAATTTCGTTTGTCATTGCGGTTGAAAGCGCCACCAGAAAAATACAAAACAAAAAAAATAAAAAATGGAAGGGGAGAGAGTCAGGGACATGTCATCCCCCAAAGGCCCCCACTAGATACTTAATCAAATATTTCCCCTGCTATATGGTTATGCAAGAAGAAGAGCAGAAAGAGCCCCCAGAAAGAATTTAATAAAAATCGTTGCCTGTCAGCGTACAAGAAGCCAAACAAATTATAACAGGTGCCGCTGCCCGTCCGACCCAAATGATTTCTTCGGCCAGGGGCGCAGGGAAAGGGTCTCGAAGGGGGGCCCCAATGAGGGTGTGCGCAGCCCACTGTGGCTCGTTTTCCAATCAACCAAGTGTGAAACAGTTAACCTGTTCAGAGCCAGGTAAATCATTTTGAAAACAACATATTTAAGCACCCAAAATTAATGGGGGCTATATATTTTCTTTATATTACGTTTCATGTTTCATAAGATAGGATAAGGAAATATAAAAGTAATATATTAAATTATTAAAATTAAATTATAATAGAATACGAATACCACGTTTTTGTATAATTATTTTGGTTAAGCAACAAGATGTGGTTCTATAGAAGTTACTCACAGTACAATATATATTTTGATCCATCAGTAGACCTCGGATTTTGCATCCTTGTCAATTTTGATTCGATTGTTATCGGAAATATGCAAATAATATACAAAACATATGCGAAAAAAGCGAATAATATGCAAATTTAATAATATTAAGATAATTTATTTAATAAATGATGATTGTATAAGAATGCCACATAATTGTATTCTTATTTTGATTAAACAGCAACAATATATGATTCTATAGAAGTTACTTACAGTCTAAATATACATTTTGATCTTACACTAACTGAGTTTAATCGCTTTTAAATATCTTAAAAGTTTTACCATTTAAAAAAAATGTGAAGCCCACTCAACAAGCTCTATAAAATTAAATTTTCCTCCCAAATCCCATAATTAAATTAATAACTTTTCCCAACTTACGGGCTACCACATAAAAATGGTCATAAAGAAATATGGAAAATGCCGCCCAAAATCCAGGCAGAGTGTGAATCAGTGCAAACACCAGCAAACACCACTCAAGCCGTTAACAACCACTGAGATTTCGGGGGGTTTCCCCCAAACCAAAACGAGACCCATGTGATTTAATGTGGGAACTCTGCCCGGAGCACGTGCAGTGGTCAGTAAAATGAATCCCCTTTCGCGTAGAATCAAGAATCCAAAATCAAGAATCGAAAGCTAGCGAGCGATTTTCAATTGTCCCAAGTCATGTTCGCGGGCTTGATTTAATTTAAAAACGATTCAAAAATTACAGACAGCAATTCGGCAATAATTTTAAACTCTGCGTTTAACCCAAGTAATTAAAGTGCCGCTCGGATGACGACGATGCTGGGCATCGTCCATGGGGCATGGACCGTTGGGCACGACTTGGTTTCATTCGAGAATTTATGACTTTTTGACAGCCCACATTATTGTTTAATCGTGACTTTTGAGTCGAAAATCCGAGCGAGTGGCCGCAGGATTTGATTTGAATAGAAACGCGATTCGGATCGGATGTGCGAATGACACCAGCATGTCGGCTTCGTGGGGTTAATTAAACAGCACCCACATGCGGACATTCAATTGAGGAACCCTTCAATTAACACCAGCCAAGAAGGGAATAACATCGAGGTTTGATCACTGAGATGACGAATGACGAATGGATCTGAGTTCCGAGACTGTTTGCACAGACCATCCCGCCCCGACTTCTTGGCCAAAAGCGAGGCTATTAAAAATTATGTAAATAGCCGGCCGGCAGTGAGTGTATAAAGTCTGGCTCATTGTTGATCGAGCCGGCAATGTCTATTAACAATAATAAAAATGAAAGAAAAACAAAGGGGCTGAAAAAAAAAACCTAACAAGAGTTTTATTGAATTGAAGAAGATGCGATGAAGCTGCATACCTATATCCACATATACCTGAAAGCGAATGGCCGAAAGGCCTAAAAGGCTATAAAACCCATTTAATATTCATTTAAGGTACTAACAAATAATGCAAATATTTGAACAATTTATTTACATATGAACGCCATCAAAGAGCTTGAATTGAAAGAGATCTTTCAATCGGTGGAAATTGTGAACGGGATCTTGGGATCCCAAGATCTCGGTCCCCGAAACAGATGAATCTATTTGTGTTTATGAGTATGTTATGCACTTAGCTCGATCAACGTGTGAGTATATATGTGAGTGGGTCTGTATAATAACCGTCTTGTATGCGACCATTTAGCATGTCACCTTTTAACGGCTCTCCGGCAAACAGAAACGCCAAAATATCATCTTCCCCCCGATTTCGTATTCCCTTTCTCCCAGCCTCCATTGAATCAACATATTTTTTTTTACATTATAATTACGTTTTGAATCATCTGCAAACAATGTGAGTCCAATTGCAGGTATTGCTTTTGGTTTCGATCAGAAAAAAGTAAAACAAAAACTCAAGTATAAGTTGATACCCAAACAAGAGATCATGATGGCATAAAAAGTTTTGCGTCATTTGTTGATGGCAAAGATATTTTCCACGTGCCGTCGGCAAATCAGTATTATTTTTATACCCCTGTTTTCCTATAGATCGATTTATAGCATCTGTTAGAATATCTTTTCCCCTTCAGTTGTCACACTTTTCCATCCTAGAAGACTAAATAATATTTTTCGCGTGGCAAATGGATATTGATGCATTAGTTACTCAAATTACCGCATGGTCGAGTAAAAAACAAATCAAATTCTATATATAATGTCTAGATGAAAGGTTGAATACATTATTAATTTTGATGCTTGACAAATTTCATTTGGTGAAATACACACCTTGGGGCGTGTCTAAAAAAAGTTATAGGAAAACATTTTTTTTCATTAGAAGATGATGGTTGTAAAAATCTTTAGAAGAGGGACAATAAACAATTACGTAAATTTTTATTTTTATTTATTTTTATTCATCATTATATCATATCAGTACTTTACAAATTGGTAGTGAATTATTAACTTTATTGGATACTTGTCGATTATTAACATTTTATTGATGCAATTATGCCAATTAAATTTATGTTTAAAATTGCTATAAATGCCATATCGGTTACTAATCTCCATGTTAAGTGAACTTTGATTGAGAAATACTTTGATGCATCGTGATAGCCAGAAGGAAATATATCAGAAAACCCATTAGTAACTGATATTTAAGGATCATTTCGCAATAAAAAACAATTGATATCATAATAAGGAAGTGGAGAATTCTTTGTATTACTTGAACTTGGACTGTACCAAGTGCTCTCTATAGTCAGAATATTGTATGTTCTTACCAAATCGTCTCCCAGATCAGAATCTCGTTCAATATTGCTGGTTGAACGACCGCTACAGTCCATAGTAGGGTGCACTCGCAGTTGCATTACGAATATTACGAATACCACAAATATAGCGAATATTCCGGTTGACGAGCGATCTTGGGATCGGTAATCACCCGAGATATAATTCCTTAGTTATGTATTATCTAAGCACAGCTCACTTTTGTTGTGTTTTTAGCTTCCAAACGGCATTAATTTTGCGGCCTGCATTTGATTTTTGGTACGCGCGAACCGTTATCTCTTATGATCTTAGGATCGTCTTACCCTATCACACACAATTCTTTATTCTTGTTGGCGAAATAGAGAGTGCGCTTAAGAACCGTTAACTTGGATTTTATGCCTTTCTGTTTGTTTAGCTGCAGATTTGCAATTATTTGCGGTTGTTTAATGCGATAAGCTCTATCTGAGGGTTTCTTTTCTCACTTTAATCTTAAACCAAGAGTTTTAATTACCACATTCACACACACACAGGACACGATTGTTATTAATCCACTTGGCTGATGGTGTTTAATTAAAAGTTATGTGTCCATTTGAAAAGCCGTTATGCGACCGCACGATCGACGCTCACGGAACTCAAATTGGGCATAGAGTCTCGGTCTCGTCCACTCCGTAGTCCAAATCGATCTGAATCCAAACAAGAAACTATATACTTGGTCAGCGCAGCTCTGCCAACCTCTGCCGAGAGAGCCATCCAATTGGGAATGGAACGGAATGGAACACCACCCCCTTTCCTCTTTTGGCTCGAAATCTCTCAGCTCATCGATGGTGAAAAACAGGTATTTCGGAAAACGGGTAAAATAAAACACCTACTTGGTATCAATATAATATTTTTATCAATGCATGTTGTATACTGTTAAATTTCATTTTTTTAAACCAATTAGGAAGATTTGTACAAACTTTGTAGATATGTGGTATTTTAAATTGTTTCCAAATTTTAGGATTGTTTTATACTTTACGAAAAAGATACAATTATATAGAAATAATTCTTATTTTCGACCCCTAATTATTACAGGAGGAAGAAAATTTTAGCTGAAAGCAAACTTGTCTTTGGAATATATTTTTGAGATTATGTAATGATTAATTAAAGAACTACTTTAATGCTAGCTTCCATAAGAAAATGCTTTAATAATAATAAGTAATTTAGAAGAAAGTTTATGGAGTGTTTTGGGATTTAAGAATTCAGTACGATTGATGACCGATATTGATATAATAATTAATATAAACTATGGCATTCTTTCCTCCAATTAGAAAATTTGTTCAATCAATTAATCTATTTTTTAATAAAATAAATTTGTTAAATTAAAGCAATTTAACCTAAAATTTATACAAAATCTCAATCAAATGGAAATCTAAATTTAGAGCAAATATTCATTGTTTGATTCCTATTAATAGCACTTCAACTGTTTTAACAAACCGGAAAACAGATAATACCCTTTGGAAGAGTATTAAAAAAATCCTCTCACATAGTCTCTCATCTCACTTGCCTTCTCTCGCGGAACGGTGGAACTGAGGCGGTGGGGGTGGGGCGGATGAGCAGCCCCGCTCTCCACCGGAACTCGTTCTCTCCCTTCAATCGCTCAGCCAATCAGATGGCCGATTCCCAATTGGAATGGAGGTGGCGGGGAGGTGGTCAATTAAATTAAAACTGTAATCGCAATCTATGCAATGCCCGGTTTATGTGTGTGTGAGAGCGTCCGCAATACAATACGCCGCCTTCTTATTCGCTCGTTTCGATACACACGCACACTCACACACCTGGGGCAAAGGTGTGCTCATGTATCTGTATCCGTCGAATGCGGAGAGAAAACGTTGATACACTGCTTCACAAAGTTTGTAACAGGGGTCCAAGACATTCTAACAGGTATATATAGTAATTTACCGTTTGAGCAAAACTTAAATTCTTATAAAGTTCCTGATTATTTCAATTTCGATTTCAAGATGTCAATCAATTTGTTCAATTTTCCAAACTATAATTGATACTCGAAACTAAAGAAATTGGAACGGTTTGAAAAGTCGTCTAATCTTTAAATGTGTATCATTAAATCTTACTGTACTTGTTTTTGAAGTTTAATTAAATCAGATGTAACTAAAATATTTAGCACGTTACCACCCCAATTTAAAACGATTTCCCTATTGTACAACATCAGAAACGATAAAAACTGCCAAAAAGCTGCCTCAAAAATATTGTCTAACATTTTTTTAAGATACTAATGGTGGCACTACCACTTTAATGAGCGGACAAATATGGATTGTAAAAAATAACATTATATGATTTTAAACCGAATATTAAATGGGATTTTTGATTTATTCTACTTTGAATAGTCTTACTTAAACAAAAAACAAAATGGGAACTTTTACTATTATTTTCATGATCGCAACTGTACTTTAAAGCACTATTTATACCCAAATTTTTGTAGCTTAGTGTTTAGTTTTGCCCACTTGTATTGGCTCACTGCCGTACATTTCAATGATGTTTTATACGCGGTTCAATTGAACAGCGCCGCCCTTTTTATTTGCCGAATCGTCGTGTGTTATTTCTGTTGATTTTCCCAATCGAATGGGAGGGGCCAAGTTTAGTTTGTGCTTTTCCTAATTTTTCGCCGATAAATACACAAAAACAGGCGGAAAACAATTGGTAAATAGGGGGTGAAAGGAGGTGGCGTAGGTTGGCAGTGGGTGGGGAAAACAAACGGTGGGTTTGATTAATGATTTGCGAGATAAATTGCACTTGTAATGGCCAAGGCGGTAGATAGATGGATGGATAGATTGTTGCTGCCACCCATCCAACAGACATCCACATCCACCCACCCATCCAGATAGTAAATAATTTCCGTTTCTCGATTTTCACTAATTTGAAATTGATGAAAGGCAGCGACGCCGGCAGCAGCAGAAGTGAAAGAAAGAGCTGCGGAAGTCGATCCCAACACAGAGAGAAAATCGGGGAGTTCTTTAAAAGTGTTATATTTAATGTTTATAAAATATTTTTGCTTAAAGGCATATTTCATTTGTATTTCACCATTTCAAATACCTGTTTTAAATGCCATTCAATCAGAAAAACAATCTATTATTGAAAGCATAAAATAAAATCACGAAGAGAAGGTAATTCCAAGTTGAAAAGTTCTGTCCAGCTTTTTACTTTGGGTCCTGATGAGGTAACTTTGGATTTCTTAGAGCTATCTTTGGATAATTTTATTTCGAACTTATAATTTTTAAGGCTTTGTAAAACGGTTATTCTGGTATGTTTTTCTGCGTGCACCAGAGTATATCAATTTTCCCCGACTTGTCTGTGAAACAAACAAGCGGCGAACGCTGTGGCATGTATCTCTCTATATATGTATCTGTATCTGTATCTGAGTATCTGTAGGGTAGGCTACCCTACCAAGAACACCCCCTGGCAGCCGCCCAGCGGAAGAAGAAGAGAAACGCCAATGACGAGGCGTCGTCCGACCCACCGACTTGACTGATGATGAAGTGAGAAAGTAATTAAATACAATTTTAAATGTGACTAATGAGACGACGTCAAATTCGTGGGGCAAAATGTTTGGAAGAGGTACGGGTGCGATCTAAGGGGAGTTGGGCTAAAAATATTTAAGGAATATATTTAATTTCAAGTAATGCAGGAATCCACCATAAAAATACTCGTTTCCTGGAATACATCATTAAAATCAACGTGAAAAAGTCACATTTTGCACGAATTTGTCATTATAAACTTTCCACTTTTTCCCCTCTAAGCTCTAAAGCCCTATTTGATTTTCTAACAACGTACATACCTGTAAGTGAAATTTGTGTTTAATTCATGGATACACATATTGGCAAATATTGGACGGGGAACATCGTTTATTTGTCAACACGTCCATTTCCTGCATTTTGTGTTTTAGCCGAAAAAAGACGCTAGCTGGAGGGGGAAAGGGAAGAAATGGGGGAACGGGAACGGGAATACAAAAAATGAAATACGTACTCGCAACAATTTCAAAATAAATAAATGAGATAGAGAAACCGCCACACAAACAGACATGGAACCGAAAGATATATGGATATTAGTTGAAGTTGTTATTGTCCAACACATCCGTCGTCGCTCGAAGCTTTTAGGCCTCATTAGTTGATGAGTATTAAGTGATTTGGGAATTACACATTTGACATAAATATTTTCCCCGTTCCGTTCCTCTAGTTTTTTATCTGTTCGCTTGTGTGAACTTCACCGTAAACCCGGGCCATGATATTTAAGGAACTCGACACGCTGACTAAGTGTTGCGGCTGGATCAATAGCCGGAATGGAGAACTATATAATAATATTGACTTGGTTACCTACGAACGAACTCTGAATTCAACCTCACAAAAAATAGACGGATAGTTTGGGGAATTAACTTTCACAATATATCTAGTATCGGAAATACGTCTTATAATATATATTGGCAAAAGATTTGTGTTTACTTGAAATATGGATATTACCGTCATTAAAAAATAATACATGCTCAAAGGCGTGTAATAAATTAAATCTAGTGTGGTTTGCTTCATAATTGGTTAATAAATAATTCATCAATACTTTGTATCATGTAAATCTATGGAATATTAAATCTTTTAGTATATTAAGTAATATAAAACATAGTATTATCCATTTTAATTTTTGGTTTAAAGAAGATCCCTAGACACATTTTGCCGACGACCATTTGTTACACTTAAATCATTAAATATTTAAAAATACAAAGATAATTAATGACTAATTAATTGACTGCATAAATTAATTCCCGCTGTGAATGTAGATCATCCAAATTTAACTGCATACCCCCATCCCTCTGTCCGAGTAGATAAAAAATGCGAATATAATTATATATAATTTACCGGCAATTTACAGTTTCAACATAGGGTGAGGGGTCAGCAGATCAATTAATTAAATGCCATTTAGGCGATCATTAATCCAGGGAATGCAATTTGTCAATCCACCAAGCGATCGATGTGTGAGAAAGCGATTTTCAGCTGTTGAACCAACAATCGTTACCTGTCGGTCGATCGGTTCCCCTAGCCCCTGGGCATAGATTCAAGACTCAAGACAGAAAACTCAAGACCCCAGAGACCGGGCTAGAAAAAAAGAGGTAGGGATGGAGAACGAGCCTGGGTTAAAGCCAAATTGATTGACCAGATCAACATCCAACGATCGTCGCGGGCTGAATATGAATGAACCGACGAGCAGCGGCGATAATTGATGATACTTAGTTATATTATGGATCCGATGGGATTGGATTCCGATCGTAGCTTCACAGACTCTTTGGCTGGGGGACCGGTTCGGTTTGGATTCATTAATAATTTGGCCAAAGCTAAAGCTCCGAGCTGGTGGAAGTGGATATGGAGATCCACAAATAGACAGTTAGAAGTAATCGGCGAAAAACGAGGCGCACAACATTCATTCATAAACTGCAGCTAACTGTCAGGAGCTTGTCAAAGGGGGAAAAGAGTGTCTCCATTATGCGGAGTCTCACTAACATCATTAACTCGGCCACATACCCATCATATTTATTTAGATTTTTTTTTTTCCCCGATTTCGGGGCACGATTTTTAATGAAGTCGAAGGAGCCTGGGAGCGGCAGCGTTCTAAAATAGAATATCAATTTGGGCAAAAAGCATAACGGATGCCGCTGTCA